TTTATTTTTTTTGGTGCATTACATGCTGGGAGTGAGTGCTCTGAAGTAAAAGAAAATTTCACTGATCAATAAACCTAAGCCCAGACAGAATGCAGTTTGTGGGTAATGAAACAAATACTAGACAGGTGCTTTAGAGATTCCACCTTGGCTTTGAGTTGCTCATTCTTACTAGTCTGACTCTTAATTTTTTTTTTTTCATCCAAGGTGTAAAGTAGACATTGCTGCACTCCCGTTGAAGCAAGCCAACTGCCTGGAGCTACCTCTGGAGAGCTGCCTGGGGACTCTCGTAGTGTTAATCACGCTGACGCCCTGTGTGGGAGTCTCTATCTCTGATCTGTGCGTCTGCCCCTTAGAGGACCCAAGTGAAAGAAAGCAGATCTGCCAGAGATACGTGAGTGCCTTGCCTGGTTGATACTGGCTCCCTCTTCTGCCTCCTCCCGTACCCCTTTTTGAATGGAAGGAAGTCTATGACTGAAAAACTACATCAACAGGAGATTTTTGTCCCAAGTTTAATTGTGTATCTCATAAAACAAGACAAGGGACACGGAGGTTAATGCATGAGTAAGAAGGTGAAAGGAGACTTAAGTTTGACTTGCTGTTTTTAAAAGCCAGAAGGCTAATTTGAATATTTAGCATTTAGAAAATCTTTAGAGAAGACTGAGATCTCCAGGAAAGCAGGTTCTTAGCTTGTCTATACATGGAAATGGGAATTTTCATAGAAGATCAAAAAAAAAAACCTTGCTTTTAAAAGCAGCTAATACGATGTTTGTAATGTTTTAATTTGTCGTATCTTTTTTAGGACCAAGGGAGAACATGCTTATACAATAGCAAAATGAGGGACTGGAGGGAAGAAGCATTTTATAATACTTCTGTGGAGGCAGTATTAGCGTGTGATTTTCCTTTACTTATTGTTAACAGTCCACTCAGTAGTTTTAAATTAAATGGCTTTGTCCTATTGTTTTATTTCTTTGTACCCTGGCTTTCTTGGCGCCCTCGTTTCCACTTGTTTTGTCTCCTCTCTGTAAATCAATACATTTGTTTTATTGCCATAAAAGGAAGACTTTGTTTTAAAACAGCGACATAGGATGAAGCAAAGATAAGTCCCTGTTTGATAGCCATACCACTGTCAGCATAAACTGTGGTGCCCCAGAGTGTTTCATTGCTTAGGTATATTGATTAATTGAATAGTTCTTTATCTTCAAGAGTGAACTGACGTGTGTCTGATTGTCAACTCGAATTCTGTGTGCCAAGTTGTTGTATTTGGAAGAGTTTGGACAGAATTCACTGTTGCTCTTCTGATGATTTTACTTAAGCAAAAAAAAAAAAATGCATTTGAGTATAAAAATATTCTTTGAAGTTTCCCATGGACAAGTTACAAAATTTGTAATATTTGCTAGGTATGTTTTTATTGACAGAGTAACTTTGCATTTGATCATAGTGGTTACTTTGTATAACGCATTATGGTTGGAAGAATAAATGAAAAAAATGGATCTGGAAAGGCTATAACAAAGATAGATATGCCCACTGTTTCTCCAGCTAGGAAGTTAGCCAGCATGTTAGAAGAGAAGTATTCCGTGTCACAAGGGAGAGAGGACAGATTACTGGATTTGCTTTTCAAACTTTCAGAACAGGCCTTTCTCAGAGGTATAGAAAAAATTGAACTGTGTATGTACATATGCCAAGTCCTATGATGTAATCATTATATTCCTCAAACACATTGTAATAAAAGTAGAAAATAAAAAAAATATGAAGGTCAGAAAACTTATTTTTTATTGCTTTCATCTTAGCTTAAGACCTAGTTGGAAGATTGCTTGATTTGTGTTGAGAATATAAGGAGAAACATTTTTTTAAAAATTTTATAGGTGTGATGCATATTAGGTGAGAAAAAATCTCAATTATTGTTAAGTCTTTCAGGTAGACTCTGAAATACCTAAATAATGAGGATTTTGTTACAGTTCTGTAAAGCTATGGGGTCTGCTTATGAAAATAATATATCTAAAGAACTTGAAATACCATCTTTTTTAGTGGTGTGTTCTATAGGTGCAAAAAGAGAACTTACGTATTTCATGCACAGTTTATAAGGGATGTCATATACTTATAGGTCTACATGCACATATACACATATATATGCTTAAGAATGACTAGTATATTTTTACACTGTGGATCATTCAAATTACTCTTTAGAGAAAATAATATAGGGAAGGTAGGGTGATAATCAATGCCAACGGCCTAATTGAATCAGCTGGCTAATCATAGACCTGGAAATTCGTTCTGTTTTCCTTCTTACTCTCTTCCCAGTGATAATAAATATCTGTGATGAGCCCAAGTGTAGCCCTCTGGTATCCATAAAGTCTCTGCTAACTGGATGAGGATAATGTTTCCTTTTAGCGTGATTTAAAAGTTACATTAAAGAGAAATGGGGGGAAAAGAGGAGGAATGTGGTTCTAGCCATGTATTTTCCCAGTGGGATATCTGTGCTAACACCAGGGGGCGATGTTAAAAGTAGATTGGATGTGTTTCTAATTTGTTTGTTTTGTAGTTAATTAATTCCCGGCCACTTTTCTTTTAATCTGGCTGCTGTAAATGCCTAACTGTGCTGCTGACTGGCATAATTCATGTTAGCAACTTTTAAAACAACTAGAAAAAACAGGGAGGGAAAATCTGGAAGGTACCTCCCATGGGACTTTATAGCACTGTGAGTGTATATCAATTATTACTGTACTCTTTTTAAAATAAATTTTTAAAAAAGGTAGAAAAAGAAAAAAGAGAATAGAACAAAAAATTTAACATTTCTTGGAAGCAAGTGGTAATATTCAATCATGTGTCCAATCTTACATAATTCTGTTAATCTGAGCAACAGAGTTGACCATAAAAATAGTTAATATATCAATCATAGTTAATCAGCTATTCTTGCTTTGAAAATCCGTAACATATGTATTATTGTATATTCTCCTGTTTCTGATTTTTGTTCTTGCTTTTGTTTTTACTCTTCAAAATAAAATTAAAAAGGAAAAAGAAATGAAAGCAATTTCATTTGTGGTCTCTCTTTCTCTCACTCAGTGCCTACAGAACTCCTTGACAGATATGAAGGATGTTGGCATTTTACAAGTCAAGGTTCTAAAGGCGGTAGATCTCTTAGCAGCAGATTTCTCAGGTACAGAATGTTTTCGTTTCTTAATTTCATTTTATTATTTATTTCCTGTTTTGAAGTCACAGCAGAGCAAACTTTATAAGTAGAAGTAGACAGTAATGATGCACCTTTAAGTTGGGTAATAGGAGAAGAAAAATGTAGAATTGAGTATTTGTTTACTATACTGTACATTTTGCACAAAGTTATTTTTCCAATAATTTTATTCTGATTCAGTAATACGCTAGTCATTTGCGTTTCAAAACTAGTGTTGGATTTTATTGTGAAGGTCTCTTTTTGGTTATATGAGTTATTTTCTCCAGCTTTGTTCTGGTGCCCCAAATGACAGGTTCTGATTCATTCCTCATAGCGGAGAGCTGGTGGTTCATAGGTCTGAGCAGGAAGCAGAAATGACTGCCACCTCATGCAAGGTGACCAGGGTCTGGGACCTGATGCCATGTTGCCATTTACATGGGTGCTTGTGAAGTCTCTCTAGGTGCTTCAGGACCTGGAAGTTTCAGCTAGAGGTCATGGCAGACCTGCTCTGTGGTGAATTATGCTGTCATGTGCGGTGCTACCCAGAGATGATAAAGTCTGACCAATGACTGTCCTGTTTATGCTACGTCATGCCCTTGTGCTGACTGATGATTCAGATCCCTCAGTGACAGAGTCCATGTAGAGAGTAACTTCATGGATATGAAAAGTAATGTACAGCACGGTCTATGGATGGGGTGCCGGATTCTTTCATTGTATTATATTTTCAGATTTTTTAATTTTATTTTAGGGAAGGGTCTACAGGGTGTTCAGGGTCACACTACTAGATTGGACTCATCATGATCTGCCTGTTTACAGCCTCCCAAGAGCTGGGATTATAGGTGTGCACCACCATGCCTAGTCTCAATTGTCATCTCATTGCACCCCTGGGGCAGAGCTAGCATGGCAGACCCGGGGATCGAATCCGCAGTCCCTGTGCCTGCTTGCAGGCACTTTAATCCACTGAACTATTTGGCTGGGGCACTTATATTTTTAGAATATAATCTACTCCTTTGTTCTTTCTATGCAGCAATAATTATCCTGTATTTTTATAACTTAGACATTCTGAGTATAAAGATGCTCAAACTTTGAAAACTTTAATGTTAATTATGAACATAAATTATTATAAAACTATGAAAAATATAGTTTTAAAAAAATGTTCTCCCTACTCTACCTCAAAAAATGCACCAGTAAGAATGACTCCTCCACAGTATTCTCAAATAAGCTGATCTCCACCTTAAAGAAGTGTCTAGTGGGCCAATCCAAAAATACAGACATTTTAAAGATTATAAGTGAAATGCTAAAATTCTTAGTTTAATGCCCAATAAATTATATAGAGTCTTATGTTAATTTAGAAATTTTCCTGCCTGTTTCTTATGTGTTATGAAAACATCCAGTATTTCATATGTACCTTTGGTAATTCAAATTCTTGCAACATCGGTGATTTTAGTTATAATTTAAAACACATTTAGAGTTGCCAGCCCAATTGAGATTTTCTTCTATGTATTTACATGTGCGCCTTTTGGAGTGTACCTTTGTTACTGTCTCAGAAAATAGCGTATGTCCCAAGAATTTATTTATGACCTAAGCAGCATTTACTTTGTTTTTTTTTTTTTTAATTAAAATTTTATTTATTTATTTATTTGAGAGAGAGAGAGAGAGAGAGAGAGAGAGAGAGAGAGAGAGAGAGAGAGAGTGTGGCCAGCTCAGCCCACCAGGGGGCGGGGCTGGCTGGCATGTGGTGCTGGGGATTGAACCGCGGTCCCTGATGCTTTTGCTAAGCTTGTTCTAAGTAGGTGCTTTAGACCACTGAGCCATCTCTCCAGCCCAGCATTTACTTTGTAAACCTCTGATTTTGTAGTTTTTTCTTTTAATCACTGGTAGCTAATTATCATGCATGCAAAGTTCATTTTTCTAAAACCTTATTACCAAAGGCATCCATATACGGATGACTTATTTACAACCTATTTCAATTTGCCCATCTTATCTGATATCATCTGTTCTTCAAGCCACCAAAGTAGTATTAGTGACAGTAATTTCAAGTCACTATATTGTCTCCAAAGAGTATTTGAAACATTAAAATGAATAAGTAGAGAAGAGAGCTGAAAAACAAGTATTTGAAAATATTAGAATGTAAGGCAAAACCCTCTTTGTGGGAGAATGATGTTTGATATAGAAATGTTAGTGTTCGGTTGTTGTCTTTATACTCAAGATTTTTAATAGATAATTTTGGAATAATGAGGGTGAGAATAAAAGTATTCATGTGTCCCCAAAGCAACAGTTGAAAATGAAATATGTCTTGATTAAATGCTGTGATGTTTCACTACGTCTGTTTGCCTTATGAGAAAGGAATCCCTATCCTGAGCTAAGCCAATGTTATTTGTCTTTAGCTGAACGTGTCTTTCGCCCGTGTGGATCACTGTTCTCTCAGACTGCATAGTCTGTGTTGCTTACATGTTGTGAGCTGCTGTGTGAATCCTCCTGGGGCTCTAACTAGGGCTCTATGCTAACGTAAACCTGCGTGTCCGAGCCACACGCCTGGAATGGAAGTCATACATATGACAATGGAATGGATTCAGATAACATGGAGGTGGCAGCATGGATTCAAAGCTGGCATGCAGTAGGAGCTCATGCATGACTACTCTTATCATTAATGTTATGAATTTCCTTGGTGTGGGTAATGAAAAATAATAGGTCACTTGGTAGGATGTGTTCATCGCTTCTGGTGTCATATTTTGAGAGTAAATCAGCTACACATGTTTTATGTCCAGCATTTTCTATGTAGTCTTACTTTATTAAAAAAGTTCTTATATCATAGTTGATCAGAAAACAAACAATTCACCTGAAAATAAAAGGAAATCTGTTTATGTAAATAATCAGGAACATTCTCTAAAGAGTAGTCCTCTTAGGTAGGGTACGAAACTGAACTTGCCCAGCTTTCTGCTTTTATTTATCTACTCATCTACAATGACAACTGTTTCTTAAAAACAGCAACAAGTGTTCTAGGCATCTTTTCATTACTGTAGCAAAATATCTGAGAAAATCCACTGAAAGGAAGAAATGTTTATTTTGGGTCATGGTTTCAGACATTTCAGTCCTTGGTCACTTGGTCACGTTGCTTGACTGTGGTAAGGTGGACCATGATGGCAGGACCGTGTTCCACCTGTGAAAGAACAAAGCTTCTCACCTTAGAATAGCCAGAAAGTGAATGTACAGTCTTCAAGGGCACAGCCCCTTAGGACCTAGTTCCTCCAATCAGGCTCCATTGCTAGGTTCACTTCCTCCAATCAGGCCCCACTGCTAGATTCACTTCCTCCAATCAGGCCCCACTGCTAGATTCACTTCTTGCAATCAGGCCCCACTGCTAGATTCACTTCCTCCAATCAGGCACCACTGTGAGATTCACTTCTTCCAATCAGGCCCCA